GCTCTCCACCCTGGCTCGAATCTGTCGCGCTTTAGCCCGGCCTATGGCACTATTCAGCTGTTCCCCGTGACCCCTCTCAGCCCTTGCAGGAGTCCTTGGGAGCCGCCTGCAGAGCGCTCTGCCAAAGCTGGCGGCTGCCCGGGCGGAGAGCAGCGGGAGCGCCCTGGCAGCGGCCGCAGCCCCCGTTGTCTCCAGCTGCCAGGAGTGCGTGGGGTGACGGCCCCGGGGGGGTTCTCCCCTCTGCCGTGATGTGGCTGAGGGATGATGGTGGCCTTGCAGCACCCCGGGAGCCCAGGCCGCGGCTCCGCGGGAGCTCGAGGGGCGCGGCTCGCTCCCGTTCCTCCTCCCGGCGTACCGAGGCCCCAGCTCGGGCCGTGCTGCGGTGGGAGCCACGGCAGCGGCAAGAGGTCGTCTCCTGCCACCGCCGAGCCGGGAAAGAAAGGTCTGTGACCGCTGGGGCGAGTGTTGCCGGCCTCTTCTCGAGCCCTCGTCCAGCTTCCCCAGGCTTGGACTTCGCTCCCGGCTCTCCTGACACAGCTCCTTTCGTCCTCCTCTGCTGAGGGCAGGCGGAGTCCCTTCCTCACCCCGAGGGCGTTGAGGCTTTTCTGGCTCTGTTAGCAGCTGGCTGCAAAAGTGATGTCCCCTCCGAGCCCTCCGCGAGCAGAGGGGCTGCACAAGCCCTGCTCAGGCGGGGAAGGCCTCTCCCCCCGTGCGGGCCTGCGGTGGCCGAGCTGCAGAAAGGCTTGGGAAGGGCGATCGGAGCAGCGGACCCCTGCCCCCTCCTTCCCCAGTCCCTGCCCGGGCTCGTTCCTGGGGGAAGACCCGAAGGCCGCTCGGGGGTCCGTGCCCCTGGAGGAGCTGCGGGGTCAGCTCTGCCCTGCCGCCTGCAGAGCCGGGAGCAGCGAGGCGGCGGCGGGAGGCAGCGGGGAGGCTGATGCGCGGCAGCCGAGAGCGCTCGGCACCGAGCCCGGAACGCGCCGCCAGAGCGGGAGCGCGGCGCCCCCGCGGTGCGGCCAGCGGGGCCGACACGGCCGAGCCCCGCCGGTGCAGGCAGCGGAACCCCCGGGCACGCCTGCAAACCCTCCGGCAGACGCTTCGCCATCGGAAGGCTCCGCTCCCGCTGCCTCCCCCTCTCCCTTCCTGCCTCCCCGGGGCCGGCCGTGCCGCACCGCAGCGCTCGGGCGTGCGGCAGCGCCGGAACGCGATAAAGAAGGGTGGCCATCTGCCCTCCGCCCGCTGCCAGCCCGCCGGCACTGCTCCTGGCAGCGCAGGGGGTTGCTCGCCCCGGCCCCGCTGCTGTCCCCGGGCCGCGGGGCGAGGTGAGGGGTCAGGGGGCTGGAGATGCTCTCGGCGGCCGCTCCGTGCGGGGCCGCTCCCCCGCCCCGCGGGCTCGTCCCGCCGGGAGCGCAACTTCTGCTCCGACCTGAAGTTGCAGCTCCTCTGTTTGTTTATTTCCCCGGCCGCGGTGGCCGGCTGCCAAGCACGCCGACCTTGCCTATTAAAAACCCATTTCTCTTGCCCTGCGCGGAGCAGCAGTTTGCTCGCCGCGCTCTTTTTTCGCTAAAATAAAGCGCTGCAAAGTCTGCTCGGGGGTGCCGGGGGAGGCTGGCAATGGAGGGGGGTGGTGGTGGAGCTCTGCCCGCTTCCCGCGTCCCTCCCGGGGCCACCGCGGTCCCCGGGGCGCCTCCCGGCGCAGCCCGCTCCGCCGCCGTGCGCCGGGACCGCGGCGGGGCGGGGTGACCGCCCCGGCTCCCCGGCCAAGCCATTTCCTGCCCTCCGGAGCCGCGGCCCCTCGCCGGCGGCCAAGCGGTAGCTGGGTCTGGCTAGGGGACGGCGGGCATCGGGGCTGGGCGGAGAGGGTGGAAAAATCAACACGCGGCAGCGGTGGCGGAGGGCAGCGGCTGATCCCATTAGCCTCGCCAAGCCGGAGCGGCTGAGCCGGAACAGCGGGGTCACCGCTGCCAGGGCGCGCCCCGGGGTGCCCAACGGAGTGGCGGGAGGGCGATGCTTCCTCCCCTCCTTCCCCCCGTGTCCCGCGGGGTCCCCACGCCCTTATCGGCCGAGACAGCCGAGGAGGCCCGCGGAGGAGTCGCTGCTGCGTAGCCACCTCCTGCGGGGGCAGGAGCCCGGCAGCTTTGTGCCGCAGGGCTCAGGGGGCCTGTTCTCCTCGCCACTTTGTTCGGCGGCGGCTCTGCCCGCCGGAACGCGCTCCGGCCAGCCCGACCCGCAGCTCCCTCACCCTTGACACTACCCCTGCACCCAGAGCCTCCTCCAATACCCGAGGGCGGCCTCTCCTCTCCTCCAGGACGATCTAGAAGTCGTCCAAAGCAAGTTGCTTTTAGAGCAGATACAACAATAAAGTATATTGAAATAAGTCTGCGGTTGGTGAGTTTCCAGCGATACTTAATGGCACTCGCGGTAAACAGTCCCTCTCTGTGCGAGCGGGGAAAATCATCCAGACACAAGCACATTCCACCCTCTTTAGGGCTCCCTGGCTGTTATTATAGTTATTGCATTACTCTGGTGTAAGCCTTTTGTAACTAAGCTTCTATAAAGCCCCGCTTACAAGCACCCTGATTAGAATTTTCCTTGCCAGTAACCAAAGGCCACCCGCTTTCCAGTGCTATACAGAGGGAGCCGTCAACAGCCACCCCTCTGAATGTACGCTTTGTTCCTGGCAACAAGGAAACGAGTGGGCTTCTATTGGGGAGAATGCAACCCTTCTTTTAAATATCACACAGCGAGAGCTGATGGGGTACCGGGCTTCGGGGAGGCTGCGATGGAGGCAGAGAGACACGGCGGGGTCACGGGAGCGCGGAGTGGCCGAGCCCGAACGCTACCCACGGAGCGGCTGCCACTCAGCCGCGGCCGGAGGATCATCTGGCTGATCCCGGCTCGGGGGCGGGCGGGGACAGAGCCGGGGCCTGCAGGGAGGAGAAAAGGAGAAGGCCGGATAATGGTTTCCCAGCAGCACACTCCGCTCTGGCACCCTGTCTTCCAGCTCCCCAGGCGAGGGGAGAGCAGCGGCTCGCAGGTCTGGGGTGAACCAGTGCAGGGAACGGTGGAGACCTTCCTAAGAGCTCACCAAGCATCCCCACCGCAAACCTGTCCACCCGTCCCACCTCCAGGGATGCTTGGTGTCCTGGGAAAGTAGTGTAGGACATGGCCATTTCTGCACACACGGCTTGGCTGCCGGGCACCCCCATTTCCAGGGAAGAAGAATCCCCTGGTGGCGAGGAAGGAGCGCGGCTCACCCGGGGTGCTCCCTGCGTGCAGCTGCGACCCCGCAGCCGCTCCGGCAAGCGAGCAGGAGGTGAGCGGGCAGCCGGCCCCCTCCGGAGGGCTCCGCAGCCAGCCCGGCTATTGTGAGCGCCCGTCTGGCCGGGTGCAAGCGATTAACTGTGCTGTGGCCAGCATTAACTGTGCTGTGGCCAACGCGTGTGCTGGTGACTTCACTAAGGAGGTGAGAGCTTGGCGCTCACAGGGCCGAAGTGCTGGGCTTTCGCTTTCGTTCAGGATGTGTGTAACACAGAGTCTTCTCTCAGCTCGTCTCATTTTGAACTTCCTCTGAAGCTCTCTCCCTCTCTTTTATTTCCTTTGCTCCGAGAGCAGCAATGAGAGACCGAGAGGAAACACGCTGCTGCTGTGCAAAATGTGGACCATGTGTGGGAACTATTTACTCAGAGTGCAACTGCAGGCACCAGGCGAGGGGCTGGCAGAGCCGGGGGGGCGGTGGAGAGCGAGGCTACGTCTCTCTCTCGTGCTTCCCCCCCTCCTTGTCTTCCCCAAAGCCAAACCACGTCGCTGTGTGTGTAACGGTGCGTTTTACTGACTTCTCCCTCAGCTTGCGTTGGGGTGCGTTTTCTTGTTGTCTTTTTTTTTATTTTTTTTTTTTTTTCAGTCCAAGGCTTTTACGGTCTGCTTTTGTGCCTCACCCACCTCAAGCCCCAAGCAAAGGGTTAAATCTTTGGAGCCCTGCATGGAACCAGAGTTAAAAAAAAAAAAAAAAAAAAAAGAAAAAGGGGAAAAAAAGGCGGGGGGAAAAGGAGTGAGAGCTTGAAGAAGAGGGCAGAGAGGGCTGCACGGTCCCCTGATCGTCCTTTTGACGGCTGAAGAATAATAAAAATAATTAATAATAATCCCTAGCCCTTTTTTTTTTTTTCTATTTGGCTGTACCAGGAAGTGCCTCTGGCCTTGAAACTCCCTATTACTTCTCTTTCCCCAACCCCCGTCCTTTCTTTGGGAAGTGAGAAGAAAAAGGTCTGCAGCTGACAAATATTATCCATCCTTTTCATCGATCGGAGCATACCCCCGCCTTTCCCTCTCTTTAAATAGATTTCAAGGCGCTGCCTGTTGGAGAGCAGCTCTCCAGAGAGAGCGAGCTATTGCTTTCCTGCCGATAGCCTCCCCCCTTCTCCAGTTTCCAAACAGAAAACAATCCCCGGCCCGAGGAACCTGCGCTGGGCCTGGCGGAAGGAGTTAAACTAGCAGCGAGGAGCGAGATAAGGAGGCAGCTCGCTGCACCATCGCTTTCGAGTCCTATGTTATAAAAATAAATTAAATAAAAATGAAATTAAAATAAATAACAAACAAATAAAAATACGAAGTGCCTCTGGCCTTGAAACTCCCTATTACTTCTCTTTCCCCAACCCCCGTCCTTTCTTTGGGAAGTGAGAAGAAAAAGGTCTGCAGCTGACAAATATTATCCATCCTTTTCATCGATCGGAGCATATACAGATGTGATAGCTTGATGTACGCTGCAAACCGGCTGATCCATCGCTTTCTCCCTCTCTGGCTGGCTCTGGTTCGGCCTCCTCCTCCTCCCCCTTTGTTCTTCCCGCAGCTCGCTGCACCATCGCTTTCGAGTCCTGTGTTTAAAAAAAATAAATTAAATAAAAATGAAATTCAAATAAATAATAAACAAATAAAAATACGAATCGTGGCTCCCTGTCCTGAACAAACAAATAAAAATACGAATCGTGGCTCCCTGTCCTGCACCATCACGGGGAGAGGAGGCAATTTATCCCGGGGCATTGCCCGACCTGGTCCTGGCGGAGATGCCCCGAGCCCCGGGCTGACCGGCACGGCACGGCACGGCGCGGCTCGGAGAGCGCGGGCGGCTGGGAAGCGAAAGGGTTAAGCCTCCCCTCCACCGCCCTCCTCTCTCGCCAGAGAATAAGCGATCGCACGAAGCGTTTCTGAGGAGGCAGGCGGCGAGCAGGCCCGTGGCAGGGGATCCATGGCTACCTCGGGGCTTGTCACCCCAGCGCTGCCCCTCTCCTGCCGCCGGCGCGGGCCGCCACCAGGCACTTGCAATCAGTTTTTCCAAAGGTTAGCCAAGGTCCCCGCTCCTCGCAGACGGGAGGCATTACGAAACTGCCTTTGTATCTGCAGGAACTTACACAAAAAACAGGCGAGAAGGAGGAGAGGGAGACAGAGCAGCTCTCTCCAGGCGGGGAGCGAGCCCGGGCGGCGGGCCGGGGGCTCCCCCCGGGTGGCTGTGGGGACCCCCAGGTTCAGCTCTCTCGGCCAGGGCGGCTCGCCCGCGGAAGAGCCGGGGTAGCCCTCCTCGCCAGCCGCCCCGAGCCGCCCGGTGCTCGTCCGGTGCCGGGAGAAGCAGCCGGCGGCGAAAATGGAGCGGGAGGAGGGAAAAGTGCTATCCGGAGAGCTGTTGTGACAGATGCTAAGCTTTGCCCTACGCGTGCTGGTGAGAGAAGGAGTTAAAAGCAAGCTGCTTTTTCGATCGAGCTGCTTCCCCGAGCGTCGGAAGGAGCGGCTTGCTAGAAAGCCGTCCATCAGCAACCAGTCCAACCTGCCCGTGATAATATGCGATCAACACCAAATCACCCCCGCTAGGCACGATCCATCATCGCTACGATGCAATGGGCCCTTGTATGGATGTGTCTACACGGGGGGCGGGCGGGGAGAGAAGGGGAGGGAGCGGAAAAGAGAGAGGGAGAGCGTGTGTGGATGTGTGTGCGAGGGGGGGACCGCATCATTCACCGGAATGGGAATCGCCGCCTCCCCCGGTTCCCGGCGAACGGAGCTGCCCGAGCCAGCGGAGCCGAAACTTGCTGGGCCGGGGCTGAGCGCGGAGCCTGGCACACGGCCCCGCCGCCGCCTCCGACTGACATCAGCCTCCCCTCCCCCTCCCCGCTCCTCCTGGGCAAGCTTGACTGGCGTAAAATTAATAATTAATAGGGTGAAATTGATTAAAGGGCTGGGCGCGAGATGGGGGCGCTCGGAGAGCCCTTCCCCTCCCCGGTCGCTCCGCATCCGCCTCCCCGCCGGCAGCGGCCCGGCAGCGGGGACTGGCCGCCGCCGGCGAGCCGGGGGAGCTCCGGGGCAGCTCAGCCCGAGCAGGAAGGAAAAGGGCGGCGGGGACCGGGGAGGAGGAGGAAGGCGGCGGCTGCAGCAGCCAGCCCCGCTGGGTGGCTGGCTGTAACCGAGATCGGCCGCACGGGCAGCGGCGGCGGCAGGCGGGGGCTGGCCCGGCTCGGCTCGGCTCAGCGCAGCTGGGTTGTGTGCGTGCGTGAGTGTGTGTGTGTGTGTGTGTGTACAAAGCCGGGTCCCGGGAACTGCCCGAGGGCGGTGCTCGGCAGCACAAGGCCAAACCCCCCGGGCCCCCCCGCTTCTCCCCCACCGCGATCAGTCTCTGCCACGGAGGGAGTGGGGAACCGCAGGGGACGCGGCCGGGCCAGCGCACGCCTCAGCCTCCAGCCCCGCGGAGGTGGGAAAGGGTTAAACGTTGGAGGGAGACGGGGAGGAGGACGGGGGATGGGGAGCGAGGGAAGGGGGGCCGCCGAGCACAGCGCTGAGCGCAGGGAAACCACAGCGCACCTGGGCTCGGCTCGGGAGCCGGAACGAGCCGCCGCCTCCTCCTCCCTCTTTCCCTCCCTCCCGCCCTTCCTCCAGCTCGGTGCCTGCCTGGCCCATATCGCGGCTCTATCTCTGCAGCAGCGGGAGCTCAGCTCCTCTGTTTCTATCAGCTGCTCCCTCTAACCCCAGTGACCCAGATAAGAGCGGCGGCCTCCCCCCACACCCCCGCCCGCAAGCGCGCCGGGGGCCCCGCTCCTGCTTCCCACCGGCCCCCCTGCCCCCCGCCGGCCGCCCCAGCCCCCGCGGGCTCCTCCCGGGCCCGTGGCTCCGGCCCCGACCTCCGCGGGAGGCAGCGAGCCTGGCCCCGCGCCGGGCGCGTTCCCTCCCGGCTGGGGCGGCGCTGCTCCCCGGTGCCCCTCTCGGACAGCTCGGGGTTATTGTCTGCCTGCGCTGCGTCAGCCCGCCGTCAAAATAATAATTAAAAGCAAAACAAACACCCCGATCCGGTCTTTCCTGGACACGCGGGTCGGAGCCACCGCAGCCCAAGTGTTGTTATTCCCGGCTGGAAATAGCCCTGGCCCCGCCCTGGACAATCGCCTGTCAGAGGCCTCTTCTCTCCCCTCCCTGGAGGCCCTTCCCTGCCCTGCTTTATTTACTTTTGAAGTGTCTGGATTGATGGAGAACTGCGAACGGCACTTTCTTCCCCCGGCTCCCTCCTGCACCAGGGCTCCGCCGGAGCCTCTCACCGCACCCGGCGCTCCGCGCCAGCGTGACCCAAGATAACCCGGCCCCGGAGAGGCCAGGCCGATCGGGGGAGGGCGCTTAACCAAACCAAACCCAACCAAACAGATCGATCCGGCCCCAGCCGAGGCCACGGGAGCCCGGGGCGGTAGCGGGGGGTATCGGGGCACCCCTCGCAGCAGCTCCCGGGCGGGCGGGGGGAGCCGCCGTCCCAGGGCAGCGCAGCCCGCCCGCCGGGCAGGGAGGGCGGAAGGGAGATCGCGGCAGGGCCCGTAACGACACCAGGGATAAACACCAAAGTTATCACCAGCCGTGACCAAAATAAATGCCTGTGATAAAAAAGCACTGACAGGATGATCCATTACGCGGGTGTCACTGCCTACAACGAGGTTCAATCAGATACGCCGGTTGCCGTGGACAACGGGGGAAGCGGCGGTACCGGGCTGACGACTTTTCTGGAGAGGCGGGTGGTGGTTGCCATCAGGGAGGTGACACGGCGCGATCTGCATGAGGGTGGCCCGGCATCGCGGGCAGGGACAGACCGCACCTTCCGCGGCCGCCGCTCGCCTGGCGGCCCCTCCGCTCCTCCGGGAGGCAGCCCCGAACCACCGGCACATCCTCGGGGAGGGGAACGTCGTCCCTTGGGAGCGTCTTCCCTTACAGGCGGCCCCGCGGATGTGCACACGCCCTCCCCTCGGGGCTGCGGCGGGGTCCCTGCCCGCTCCGTGCCCCCCTCTGGCACATACTCGGGGAGAGGAACGTCGTCCCTTGGGAACGTCTTCCCTTGGGAACGTCTTCCCTTACAGGCGGCCCGGCGGATGTGCACACGCCCTCCCCTCGGGGCTGCGGCGGGGTCCCTGCCCGCTCCGTGCCCCCCTCGCCCCCGCAGTTGCGGGCACGGCGCCCGCGTCCCTCCCGCAGCCCCGCGGTGCAAATCAAAGAGCGTTTGTTCCGCGCGGCGCGGCCGTCTTGCGAGCGGTGCGCTGTTATTAGCGGGGAGAGGGGAGGGGAGAAAGGCTCTCTGCGGACCCCTGCGCACGTCCTCGCCTCCGGCGGAGCTGCTCGCAGGTGCCGGAGCGGGGGCAGCGGGGGCCGGGCTGGCTGTCAGCGCCGCCGGGAAGAGCCGTACCCCGGGGCGCCGGGCTAATCGCACGGCAGGCCAGCTCGGCGGTGCGCCGCGGCCCCGGGCGGTGCGATTAATGAAGGCTCACAGGCAGTGGGGATGGGCTAAGGGCCAGTCTCCTTTATGCCACATTCCTCTGGATCGGGCCGGGCCGGAACGTGCCCCACACCGGGGAGGGGGCGGCGGGAACAAGGTCCTCCGGGCCCGGGGGGGACCAGCCCTTCTCCCCCGGCCCTCCGCATGAGCAAGCCGCCTTTGGGAACGGCCGTGCCCCAGGTGGGGCATGCCAGGGAACGGGAGACGATGCCTCTCCACGCCCGCGGGAGGAGCGATGCCAGGGCCCTCCCCGGCGGTGCCACGGTGCGTGACACGCCAGCCCCGTGTCTCTCCGGGGTGAGAAACTTCCTGGCTGCTAGCGACGGGTGGCTGCGCCGCTGCTACGCATCTTTCGGTCCCGAGATTCCCCCCCACCCAGCGTAAATGCATCCCCCCCGCCGCCCCCTTCCCGTCGCCCCCTTCCCGTCACGATTTAATGCTTTTCATGTTCTTCGGCAACTGCGTTTCCGCAGAGAAACCCCGGCGCGCTCGCAGCTCGGCTGCTCAGCTGTATTGTGGCGAGCTCAGGCACAGCCGGAGTGAATCCATTACGCCTCGATCCTACAATACAGGTTTATGCGGATACCCTCTGATTTACATTTAAAACAGTGCACGGGCATTGTCTGCTAGCCTGAAAAAAAAACCAAAAAAAAAAAAAAAAAAGAAACCAACACAGCCCCGTAACTTCAAATGACCTTCAAAGCAATGCAATTAACTCTCGTAATTATCAGTACACGCCTTTTAGAAAAAGACACAGGTGCTCGCCTCGGTACTGTTCCACCTGGTTAAGCAGCCCCGTCCTACCAGGGAATGCCCCCGTCTCCCCCTCCCCCGCTTCGGAGTCCCCAAATCTGGGACTCGCTCCGCCGTTCCTGCATGTCGAAACCTCCCTTCGCCCTCCTCCCTTCCCCCGCCCGCCGCCTGGGCTGAGGGACAGCTTGCTCAGCGCGGCGAGGCTTTGTCACACCGCCACACACACACACCCCGCCGCCACGGCGCTGCCTGCTGCCGGCGGCGGGCGGCGTGCTCGCTTTCCCGGCTCCCACAAAGCGCTCCCCTCCCGCCGGCCCCCGGACCGCAGGCCACGCAGAGCCGAAATTTAGGTTAATAGGATGGGCTTTGATCCGTGGTCCCCTTCGCCCGCCCCTCACCCCGAACGACATCGATCCGCCGCATTTACTCCCGCGCCGATCGGCCCCCGGCGCGCCCGCGACCGGAGAGAATAAATAAATATTCCCGAAACACCCAGCCGGTGCTGGCCCCCGGTCCTGCCTGCCACGGCCCCGCGCACGAGTGGCAGAGCCCCGGCGGCCGAATGTGCAGTGTCATGATGGCTCCTACGGCCCGGGGGCGATACCGGGAGCGGCGGGGACAGGGGCAGCTCCGGGGGGGGCTGCCGGTCCCGCAGGGACCGCCGCCCCCCCTCCCCTTCGCCCCTCTTTTGCACACACGCACACACAAAATAAATAAATAACGAGGCGGCTGGAGCCATCTGGGGTTGGATGGCTTCTCATCTCATTACAGAGCATTAGGAGAAACAGGCAAATATACAGCTATTAAAATTAATCGCCTCGCGCTGTCAGCTGAACATAATGGAAATTATTTATAGGCTGCCTACGATGCCTTTCTCGTCACGGAGGCTTGGTGCGGAGAGGCGCACTCGCGGCTCGCAGCACAGCGAGGCGTGCGGGCCGTGCGGGGGTCGCCGGGCCCGGCTCGGCCCCGACCGGCCAAGTTTGGGAGGTCAGGGAGGGGAGGAAGAGGGAAAGGGAAAGGAAAAGCAAGCGGCAGAGGCGCTGCGCTGAGTTGGGGCGGCTTGTTTTCAGGTGGTTGCAGGGGAACGGTGGAGGCACAAAAAGGGCAAACCGCGGTGCTGGGGCGCTCCCCGGGCTGCTCTAGCCGAGCGTGCCCGGGGCGGTGCGGGGCAGGGTGCGGGGCAGCGGGCGGGCTCTCGCAGAAGGAAATCTCCTGTGCAAAGAGCGCACAGCGCTCAGCAGGCACCGCGCGATGCGGCGAGGGCACGCCGCGGGAGGGGGCGATGCGCTTCCCGAGCGATCTGCCTGCAGATCTCTGCTACCAGAGGAAATGTTAATTGTCAGCCCTTCCGCTTCAGCCTCTGGAGCGGGCTCTCGGAGCTGTGTGCTTATGCTCCCGGGGAGATGGGGGTCTCTTCCGCCCCGGGAAAAAAACCCTAAACCCAATGGAGGAGAGCTGGCCTGTTTTTCCGACCGAGCAAGAGAATGTGTTTGGGAAACAAGGGGAAACGATGCCCGTGCATTTCCCCACTCCGTCCGGGGTCGTTTCGGCCAAGACAGCCACCAGGCTCGGCAGGGGCGAACCGCCTCCTCCCCCGCAGCTGTGGGGCTCATCGCGGGGCTGTGCCCGTGCCCGTGTGAGGACTGAGAGCCTCCCCAGGGCCGGAGGAGGCAAAGTACGGCCGGGGCAGCCCGGGCGGCACCTGCAGGGTCGGAGGGAAGGTGCGAGAAAGGCCGAGTGAGAGGCTGGAAGCGCATCTTCGCCAGGCTTGAGAGGTTAATAAACACACCCGTCCCCTCTTCCCAGCCCGCCTGAGGCTAAGACTCACAGCTCAGCGGGTAATTGACAGTCTCAATCCAAAATTGAAACATGTGTTAACAACAACGCCACGCATCCTAGGAGCTACCCAGGAGATCGCCACCTCACGGTCTTTATATATTATTTGAATCCACCGGAGGAAAGTGTCACGAGATTTTCAGAGCACGTTTCACCCCTACCTGTAAATCAGCTCTTATCACTGCTGGCTGCTCAGATAGAGCCAGCCTCTGCTCTATAGCGCAGGAGGAGAAGAGCCACTGCTCCCTCGCAGCGCTGCTTCCCTGCCGCCTCCATGCGGAGCCCTCCGGCATCCCCCGTCCCTCCGGGGCGAGCCCAGCGGCGGGGAGCGGGCGAGGACCAGCAGATCCCAGACCCGG